CCACTCAAGGCTACCGGTCAAGCTTACGAGTGTCCCTCGTTCTTCTGGACAGTCCAGGAGGAAAAAACTGTTGTGTTCTACCACCATAGTTGCTATCTACTCCATAAAATTGAAGACAGTCGTGCTTTGGCATTGACCAATAAACTATGACCAACTCCAAGGCCAAAATTCAAGTTGACAGTGTCTTGCTTTATTCTGGGAAGTTTAGGAGGATAAAACTGTTCTGCTAAACCATCATGGCTGCTATCTATTCTATGAACCATGGCTGCTGTCTAATTTATGAAAGTGGAGAAAGAAATGCTTTGGTATGCACCAAAGAAGAATGACCAACCTCAAGGCCAACGGTCAAGCTTACGAGTGTCCCTCGTTCTTCTGGACAGTCCAGGAGGAAAACACTGTTGTGTTCTACCAACATAGTTGCTATCTACTCCATAAAATTGAAGACAGTCGTGCTTTGGCATTGACTAATAAACTATGATCAACTCCAAGGCCAAAATCCAAGTTGACAGTGTCTTGCTTTATTCTGGGAAGTTTAGGAGGATAAAACTGTTGTGCTAAACCATCATGGCTACTATCTATCCTATGTACCATGGCTGCTATCTACTTTATGAAAGTGGAGAAAAAAATGCTTTGGTATGGACTGATGAAGTATGACCAACCTCAAGGCCAACAGTCCAGCTTACGAGTGTCCCTCTTTCTTCTGGACAGTCCAGGAGGAAAAAACTGTTGTGTTCTACCACCATAGTTGCTATCTACTCCATAAAATTGAAGACAGTCGTGCTTTGGCATTGACCAATAAACTATGACCAACTCCAAGGCCAAAATCCAAGATGAGTCTCACTTTATTCTGGGAAGTTTAGGAGGATAAAACTGTTGTGCTAAACAATCATGGCTTCTATCTATTCTATGAACCATGGCTGCTGTCTAATTTATGAAAGTGGAGAAAGAAATGCTCTGGTATGGACCGATGAAGAATGACCAACCTCAAGGCCAATGGTCAAGCTAGCAAGTGTTCCTTGGAGGATGAAACTGTTAAACCATCATGGCTGCTATCTATTCTATGAACCATGGCTGCTATCTATTTTATGAAATTGGAGAAAGAAATGCTTTGGTATGGACCAATGAACTATGACCCACCTCAAGGCCAACGGTCAAGCTAGCAAATGTTCCCCTTGGAGGATATCCAGGAGGATGAAACTGTTAAACCATCATGACTGCTATCTATTCTATGAATCATGGCTGCTATCTATTTTATAAAAGTGGATGAAGAAATGCTTTGGTATGGACCAATGAACTATGACCCTTCTCAAGGCCAACGGTCAAGCTAGCAAGTGTTCCTTGGAGGATATCCAGGAGGATGAAACTGTTAAACCATCATGACTGCTATCTATTCTATGAACCATGGCTGCTATCTATTTTATGAATGTGGAGAAAGAAATGCTTTGGTATGGACCAATGAACTATGACCAACCTCAAGGCCAATAGTCAGGCTAGCTGGCAGGTAAAGGAACACTTCTCTTCCTGCTGGATAGTCCAGAAGGATGAAACTGTTAAACCATCATGTCTACTATCTATTCTATAATTGTGGAGACAGAAGTGCTTTGATATTTACGTACAATATTTACTATGACTGACCTCAATCCAAAAGCCAATCTTTTTTTTGCCTATCCTGGAAAAGTGCCCTCACAATTCTTCCATCAACATCGTTAACGGCGTGGAAATAGCTGGCCACAGCAGATACTTTTTTTTTGGTCATTTAAAGGTCACTAGACTCCAGGAAATCAGAGTTTCCCCCCCCCCCCCCCCCACCCCCCTTCTTGAGCTGCCAAATCTCACAATGAAACTGTGATGGAATCGACCACTGAGCAAAATGGACGCATCTATTTGCTGAGCTCTCCAGAGGCCTACAATCCATGACACCGAATCGATGGAGCCAGCGTCATTTGATCTAATGTATCTGTGTCCATCTCCAGGGACGAATCGCTGGACACTGACACCAGCAATTAGCTTAATGGCCATAAACAGGACCACACACACAAACAGGAGTCGTTTTATTGCTTTTTCTTTGCGTGGAATTGAACTCGGGCACCTTTCACGACCGGAAGACATCTCTGCTGTCTGCAAGGAGCCCTACTCATCATAAGCTGGACTCCATGCAAACAGTTAAATACAAAGAATAAACACGTATAATGATGCTTGGAAAAATTCAGCCGCACTCCAATTAGCTCTTCTTGCAGTATTTTTATTAATCAGTGACATATCGGCATGGATGTCACTCCACTTCCTCAAACTCAATCTTTCCTAAACTGAGCTCTTAGTATTCCTTCCGGCCCGTGCCCCCTCCCCTGACTTCTCCATCAAGACCAATAATACAACCATCAGTCCCTCCCCTCATGCCAGGGTACTAGGTGTACTCCTAGACTCCCATCTGTCCTTTCACCCCCAAATCCAATCACTGTCCAAATCATGTAGACTTCACCTCCACAACATCTCCAACCTCCGCAACATTTCCAACCTCCAACATGTCCAAGATACGTCCGTTCCTAACCTCGGAAACCACTAAGCAACTTATTCCCTCCCTGGTTATCTCTCACCTTGACTATTGTAACTCCCTTCTCATTGGCCGACCTCATCGCAGGCTATCCCCTCTTCAGTCTATTATGAATGCGGCTGCCAGACTCATCCACCTTACTAACCTTTCCGTATCTGCCATCCCTCTCTGCCAATCCCTCCACTGTCCTCCACTTAGTATCCTCCACCCCTCTCTGCCAATCCCTCCACTGGCCTCCAATCAGTGTCCTCCACCACTCTCTGCCAATCCCTCCACTGTCCTCCACTCAGTGTCCTCCACCCCTCTCTGCCAATCCCTCCACTGGCCCCCACTCAGTGTCCTCTACTCCTTTCTGCCAGTCCCTCCACTAACCTCCACTCAGTGTCCTCCACCCCTCTCTGCCAATCCCTCCACTGGTCTCCACTCAGTGTCCTCCACTCCTCTCTGCCAATCCCACCACTGGCTTCCAGTCAGTGTCCTCCACCCCTCTCTGCCAATCCCTCCACTAACCTCCGCTCAGTGTCCTCCACTCCTCTCTGCCAATCCTTCCACTGGCTTCCACTCAGTGTCCTCCACCCCTCTCTGCCAATCCCTCCACTAACCTCCACTCAGTCTCCTCCATCCCTCTCTGCCAATCCCTCCACTAACCTCCACTCAGTGTCCTCCATCCCTCCACTAACCTCCACTCAGTGTCCTCCACTCCTCTCTGCCAATCCCTCCACTGGCCTCCACTCAGTGTCCTCCACTCCTCTCTGCCAGTCCCTCCACTAACCTCCAATCAGTGTGCTCCACCCCTCTCTGCCAATCCCACCACTGGCTTCCACTCAGTGTCCTCCAGCCCTCTCTTCCAATCCCTCCACTGGTCTCCACTCAGTGTCCTCCACCCCTCTCTGCCAATCCCTCCACTAACCTCCACTCAGTTTCCTCCATCCCTCCACTAACCTCCACTCAGTGTCCTCCATCCCTCCACTAACCTCCACTCAGTGTCCTCCACCCCTCTCTGCCAATCCCTCCATTGTCCTCCACTCAGCGTCCTCCACCCCTCTCTGTCAATCCCTCCACTGGCTTCCCATTGGCCAATGGATAAAATTCAAAACATTAACAATCACATAGAAAGCTATATATATAACTCAGCCCCCAATTACATCACCAATCTTGTCTCCAAATATCACCCAAACCGTCCTCTCCGTTTCTCCCATGACCTCCTGCTCTCTAGTTCCCTCGTCTCCTCTTCCCATGCTCATCTCCAGGACTTCTCCAGAGCTTTTCCCATCCTCTGGAACTCTCTACCCCAATTTATCAGATTATAGCCTACTCTGCTCACTTTTAGGTGATCTCTGAAAACCTCTTTCTTCAGGGAAGCCTATCCTGCCCTCAGCTAATAATGGAATCTTCTACTCCTCCTACCAGTTCTTCCCCCACAGTTATTACCTTTTGTAAAAGTAGCCCCTCCCTCTTAGATTGTAAGCTCCCAGGATCAGGGCCCTCCTATCCCTCTTGTATTGAACTGTATTGTTGCTGTTTTGTCCCCCGTTATATTGTAAAGTGCTGAGCAAACTATTGGCGCCATATAAATCCTGTATAATAATAATACTCAGTGAGTAGACTGTGCACGGTGGTGTCTCCAACCCAAAAACCAACCTTCCTCGACGCGTTTCACCGCTCCTGGATTGCTCACAAGGATAGTGGAAGTCCGTATAATTGGGCAGTTTTTCCTGCTAGAGGATTTGTATTGTGCATCCAGTCCTGATATTTACACAGCTCCACCCCCCCCCCCCCAGCACAGGTCCTTCTGTCAGGGTAGGAGACCCGATTTTGTCTCTGTTGCAGTTAATGAACGCTTACAGGTCTTGTCCCTCCCCCAGCATGTAATTGGACAATGAAAGGAGAAGCAGCAGGCTGGTGAGCTCACATCTCTGTCACTCCGCTCTCTCCTCCTATCAGCTTTCTCCTTGAATTGATTGGCTCCTTGTGCTGCTTCTCCGTCCCCAAGTCTAAGCTCTGCTCTCGGGGATTGCGAGAGGCGGAAACCAGGTGAAATTCAGGTATTTTCGCTGCTTGTATTAAAAAGTACATTATTCTCTTACCGACTGCCTGCAGTAGCATTACTGCTGTCAGGCGGCACAAACAGGAAATGCTGAGATATCAATCAGCACCCGGGGCAAAGAAGCTCAACTGCGCCCCCCTCCTTTTATTATGTATGAGCTTAGGGGATGCTACCCCCAGCAGCCATCCGCTTGTCAAAATGCCTTGTATCAGATTGAGCCCCCATCCATACAGTAAATCGCTGCTCCCAGGGCAGCCGCCCCTCCTGCCCACCCCTGGAAAGAGAGAGGGACTCTGATTGCGACATCTGATGTAAAGGGGACTCTGATGACGACATCTGATATAAGGGGGGCTCTGATGGGAACATAATGTAAAGGAGAATTCTAATGGGGACACCTGATGTAGGGAGCACTCTGATGGGGACATCTGATGTAGGGGGCACTCTGATGGGGACACCTGATGTAAGAGGGAACTCTAATGGGAATAGATGATGTAATGGGCCACTCTGATGGGGATACCTGATGTAAAGGGGGACTCTGATGGGGACACCTGATGTAAAGGGGGACTCTGGTGGGGGCCTGGATGTAAGGTGGGCTCAGATGGGGACACCTTATGTAAGGGGGCACTCTGATGGGGACACCTGATGTAAAGGGGGACTCTGATGGGGATCTGGATGTAAGGGGGCTCAGATGGGAACATCTGATGTAAGGGGGAACTCTGATGGGGACACCGATGTAAGGGGGCACTCTGATGGGGACACCTGATGTAAAGGGGGACTCAGATGGGGACCTGGATGTAAGGAGGGCTCAGATGGGGACAACTGATGTAAGGGGGCACTCTGATGGGAACACCTGATGTAAAGGGGGACTCTGGTGGGGACCTGGATGTAAGGTGGGCTCAGATGGGGACACCTGATGTAAGGGGGAACTCTGATGAGGACACCTGATGTAAGGGGGCACTCTGATGGGGACTTGGATGTAAATTGGGCTCAGACGGGGACACCCTATGTAAGAGGAAACTCTGATGGGGATGGGGACACCTGATGTAAGAAGGACTCTAATGGGGACAATTGTTATAAAGGGCCAATCTGATGGGGAAATCTAATGTAAAGGGCCAATCTGATGGGAACCTAATATAAAGGGGGACTCTGATGAGGACTCCTGATATAAAGGGGGACTCTAATAGGGCCATCTGATATAAAGAGGCACAGGGTTTTTTTTTTATTCACCCTAATCTAAAACAGCCTAATACATCCCAGTGTTTCCCAAGTTGTGACCCCATGTGACAGACTGTGACACACAGTGTTGAGATTGCGCACCCTGCCTTTTTTTTTAATGCACCCCCAGATCAGATCAAAAATAAAAAAAAACACCAAGAAAGCTCAATTTGTGTGGAAAAAAAAAAGATATACATTTTATTTGGATACAGAGTTGCATGACTGTGCAATTACCAATTAAAGTAGTGCAGTGCTGAATAGCAAAGAAAAATCCTGGTCATGAAGGGGTTCTACACCTTCCGTGGTTTATGACGTGTTGACGAATGCAGAAGTTCATTAATTCGGTCTTTTGTCGCCGTTTCCGCGGTCTGACGGGCTGACTTGAGCAACTCCCGATTGTCACCAGCGATGCCCTTTCATTTCACGCATTATTGGACAGCGGGAAGAGCAGCGGCTTTGATTTCGGCGCACGAAACAAAAATTCGCGGCTGGAGGTACAGCTAGAGGGTTAAAAAGATCTACAACGCCGCGGGCTGAATAGCAGATCATCTGCACGCTTTATGTGGCGGCCTCGTGCAGATTATAGACGCGGCGGGAGCTTTCATTTTGCCCGGCGCCATCCGCTCTTCTTTTTCGACGTCGCGGCGAAGGAAGGTGCAACAGACATAAAAGACGTATTAAGGACACAGAGGGATGCTGGACCTCATCTGCCACCCTTCTCCACCGCCTACCGTGGACGGTATTACAACCCGACACGGTCTTTTGGAAAACGACTTAAGTGGCCTTTTGGAGGCGCCGTTCCTTTATTGCCGTCACAGTGGGAGGAGAGAGACTAATCATGGGCCGTTTACCCCCAAGAACTTCAGATTCTGGATATGTCATCTAGGAGGGAAAACAAAGCCCTGTGCCGGAACGTTGGGTCTTGTGCTTTGGGTAGTGATAGCTTATCGGGTCTGAACCAGGGAAAAAAAAATCTACTGATGCAGCTCCATCCTCCTACTGTAATCAGTTGCTACGTGGAAGAAAAATATATTTTAAATATTAAAAAAAATATTCTTCCAAATATATTGACATCTATTTGAAATACCACAATTTTGGCCATATTCAATATATTTAAAAATAAATAAATATATATATAAATATATATATATATATATATATATAATATATATATATATAATATATATAAATATATATATATATATATATATATATATATATATATATATATATATATATATATATATAAATATATATATATATATATATATATAGATAGATATATATATATATATATATATATTATAATATATATATTTATAAAAATATATATAAATATATATATACAGTTGCAAGAAAAAGTATGTGAACCCCTTGGGATTACGTGGAGTTTTGCATGAATTGGGCATAAAATGTGCTCTGAACGTCATCTAAGTCATAACAATAGAAGAACACAGTCTGCTGAACATAATACTACACAAACATTAGATGTTGCCATGGTTTAATTGCACATAACATGTAAACATTCACAGTGCAGGGAGGAAAAAGTATGTGAGGCCCTAGCTTAATGACTTCTCCCAGAGCTAATTGGAGCCAGGAGTGAGCCAACCTTGACTCCAATCAGTGTGATGATATTGGATGTGTTGCTGACAGCTGTCCTGCCCTTAAAAAACACACACCTGTTTTGGGTTTACTGGTTTCAAGAAGCACTGTCTGATGTGAACCATGCCTCGCAGAAAAGACCTCTCAGAAGACCTACGATCAAGAATTGTTGACTTGCATGAAGCTGGAAAGGGTTCACATACTTTTTCTTGCAACTGTATATATATATAGTGAAGGAATTTCCCCTGCTGGTTTTGAATGTTCGCCCACTCGCAAAGAAATGATCGGTCTAAAAATCGAATGTTCGGTGTAACACTGAGAGACAGAATAGCAACAACAAATTCAGCAGAAATGCGTCTAACAAATGATGACTGATCTGCATGTTCATGAGAGAAAGAAGGATTTGATCCCCTTCACAAAACATGACTTAGTACTTGGTGGCAAATCCCTTGTTGGCCATCACAGAGGTCAGATGTTTCCTGGAGTTGGCCCCCAGGTTTGCACACATCTCAGGAGGGATTTTGGCCCACTCCTCTTGGCAGATCCTCTCCAAGTCATTAAGGTTTGGTGGCTGACGTTTGGCAACTCGAACTTTCAGCTCCCTCTACAGATTTTCAATCGGATTAAGGTCTGGAGACTGGCTAGGCCACTCCAGGACCTTAATGTGCTTCTTCTTGAGCCGCTCCTTTGTTGCCTTGGTCGTGTGTTTTGGGTCATTGTCATGCTGGGACACCCATCCACGACCCAATTTCAATGCCCTGGCTGAGGGAAGAAGGTTCTCACCCAAGATTTGACGGTACATTGCCCCATCCATTGTCCCTTTGATGCGGTGCAGTTGTCCTGTCCCCTTAGCAGAAAAACAACACCAAAGCAGAATGTTTCCACCACCATGTTTCACAGTTGGGATGGTGTCTTGGGGTCATAGGCAGCATTCCTCCTCCTCCAAAGTTGAGTTGATGCCAAAGAGCTGGATTTTTGTCTCATCTGACCACAACACATTCCACCAGTCCTCCTCTGCATCATTCAGATGTTCAGTGGCAGACTTCAGACGGGCTGGACATGTGCTTTCTTGAGCAGAGGGACCTTGCGGGCACTGCAGGATTTCAGTCCTTGTCGGCGTAGTGTGTTACCAATTGTTTTCTTGGTGACTGTGTCCCAGCTGCCTGGAGATCATTGACAAGATCCTCACGTGTAGTTCTGGGATGATTCCTCACTGTTCTCATGATCATTGACACTCCACGAGGTGAGATCTTGCATGGTGCACCAGACCTAGGGAGACTGACACTTGTTTTGTGTTTCTTCCATTTGTGAATGATTGCACCAACTGTTGTCACCTTCTCACCAAGCTGCTTGGCCATAGTTTGGTAGCCCAGTCCAGCCTTGTGTAGGTCTACCATCTTGTCCCTGACATCCTTGGACAGCTCTTTGGTCTTTGCCATGGTGAAGAGTTTGGAATCTGATGGTTTGATTGCTCCTGTGGACAGGTGTCTTTTATACAGGTAACACAATGAGATTAGCAGCACTCCCTTTAAGAGACTGCTTCTAATCTCAGCTTGTTACCTGTATGAAAGACACCTGGTAGCCAGAAATCCTGCTGAATGATAGGGGATCAAATCCTTCTTTCCCTCATGAACATGCAGATCAGTCATCATTTGTTAGACGCATTTCTGCTGAATTTGTTGTTGTATTCTGTCTCTCAGTGTTACAATACACCGAACATTCGATTTTTAGACCTATCATTTCTGTGTGAGGGGCGAACATTCAACATCAGCAGGGGAGCAAATACGCATTTCCTTCACTGTATATATACTGTATGTTGAAATACATTTTTTTATATATTAAAAAAATATATGAAAAATATTTTTTTAAATACCCCGAGACTGATCATTGAGGAGTGGCTGAGACTGTGTGTTGGGCTTCTGGAGCACCTGTTCGGGAAAGAACCTTGGAACCAAATCAGCCCGGCCATACACGGGTCGAATTCCGAACAAATGTTCTTTTGAAAATATTTTCTAAGAATTTTCCTTCGAATTTCGACCATTATTTCACGTCATCAAATTTGAATGAGCGGACATGTTGGAAATTTTTTTAAAAACGAACAAATTTCTAATCAACGATGGGAGAATCATGCGAGAAATATAATCGAAAAAGAAACGAGTGTGAGCCGTGACCTGGAAAGAAAAGAAAATTCTTGGCCAGGAAAATTCTTTTCTGTAGCAACATGGGGGGAAGTTGAAGGCTTGGTTGGTCGAATTTTGAAATCAATGGTGGCACCATCGGGTTACAAAATGTACGAAATTTCAGATTTTCTAAAGAAAATTCATTCAGAATTCGACCCGTGTATGGCCTGCATTAGTCGATGTGGTGTTAAAGTGACCCTAGCCCTGGTTAGAGTAGGGGGGTCTTTAGCACCATGTGCCCACCCAGAACTGTTCACTGAAGGTAGCCATAGACCGAGGAACGGACCGGACTGCATTCCTCTGAGAGCCCACATGACCACGACTTGCCGTCTACGTGGACGAAGGATTCTTTCACCGTCTAATCCGGGTCGAAAACTGGCCATTTTTTATTTAAAAAATGAAAAATCGGTCGTTCGATCGGCCGACGTTACCACCAACGGTAAAAAAAATCGGCCGATTTTCGTCCCGTCTACAGCCGGCATTTAATTACTTCTGTCCCTGCAGAGAGCTCCGCTATTATATTTGATATGAAAAAGTCTTGTGGTTGCAACAATGTATCCATTTCAGATAGAGATGGTTTTATTCGGATACAAATGGATACATTGTTGCAACCGCAAGACTTTTCATATAAAATATAATAGCGGACTGGAATTCTTCTTCATCTTCTTTTTCTCCTTTTTCTTTTCTTCTTCTTTTTCTTCTCCTTTTCTTCTTTTTCTCTTTTTCTTTGTCTTCTTTTTTTTCTTCTTTTTTTCTTTTTTTCTTCTTTTTCTTATTCTTTTTCTTTTCTTTTTTTTTTCTTCTTTTTCTTCTTCTTTTTCTTCTTATTTTTTCTTTTTTTCTTCTTTTTCTTTTTCTTATTTTGATTTTTCTTCTTTTTTTTTCTTCTTCTTTTTCTTTTTTTCTTTTCTTCTTTTTCTACTTATTTTCTCTTCCTCTTCTTTG